GGGTTAACCTGGAATTTGTGGTGACACTTGTGAGTAGTTTTAATGTCCTTTGCTGCATTTATGAAACCAGTATGCTATCGGTGCTAAATTATTCTAATTGTTTATTTAGTGTAGTTGGTAAAAAATAAATAAATAATGTGCTACCCAAATACAGGTTAAAAATGTTTCTTAAACTATTTCTAGGGTCCTCCAATGAGTTGCGCAAGGTTGGCTGAGAGGGTAGTGGCCCTTATTTGTTGTGAAAAACTGCACAAAATTGGTAAGATTTTTTTTTAAACAAGCATCTCTGATTTAGGTGAAGAAAATAAAATCTTTAGAAGGGAAATGTTTATAATATGTGTATAACTTACAGTGGGCTCACTCATGACCGCAGCACAGTGTTCTGTGATATGTTCATAAAACAAAAGAATTTTAACATGTGTCGTCCTAGAAGGGTAGAGTTGAGGTTGTTAAATGAATCATCTCTGAACATCTGCCATTTTAAAATAAGCACAGTATTATTTGTAGTAATGTTGGATATTCTTTTTATGCAAAATATGTCAGCAGGCAAGTCATGTTTCAGAGTTGCAATGTAATTTGAAAGCTGCATTTCTCAGCCATGAGAAAATAACTACTGTATTTTTAAAAAAAAAATTAGTAATAACAAACGTATGTATATAGTGTATAATTCAGTCATTTAAGAGACAAGTTGTTGTTGTTAACCATAAAATATTTGTGACTGAGAATTCCAACGAGTGGAAAGAAGATTCATCCTGATAAACACACACATCATGATCAAAAAGTAAAACTCCAGTAAACTTGTATGTACATTTATTTGTCATATTAAGTTTAAAATAAACTTTCTGTTGAATATTGGTAGAGATTCTGTGAGCCAATACAGAAGAGTTTTGTACCTTTCCAAAGGAAAAGGGATTCTGAAGTCTTGGATACATTGGATATTTTGATGTGGCAGGTTGTAACATTTTGTCACCGAACGAATATATTATTGTAGAGAGAGAACATTGTGGTATTTTGAAAAACAGCTAGAACACAATAGCTCTCTTTTCTTGGTATATGCAAGTCATTCTGATAAGGTTATTTGGTCCCATGCTGTCTTTAATTGGTACAGAAAGTTGAGTTCTTTGGCAAGTTCACCTTAGGGAGGCTATTTTAAATTTTATTTATTTGCAATTCTGAAAGGGTTCGGCTATCAATAGCACTTTGGGTCGTGGCAGATAGCACCTAAGAGATAATAGGTTCATAAATGTGCACGTGACAGTATTACCCCAATATTCATACATTCATCTTTACTCCATAAAATTTAGGTGAACTGGATGATCACTTGATGCCAGTTGGAAAAGAAACGGTTAAGTATGAGGAGGAGCTTGATTTACATGATGAAGAAGAAACCAGTGTTCCAGGAAGACCAGGTTCTACAAAACGAAGGCAATGCTACCCTAAAGCTGTTAGTATCATTCAGTTTCCGCAATTCAATACATTCTGTTATTTGCTGTAGTAAAAGACTTACTAAGTTTTAAGTCTCTAACTTGTCTATAAAGGAAGTAGTTTGCAAGCTGAGTTTTGTACTTCGTGATGCATTTCAAACTTTAAAGCAGATTGTTTAAGTTGTAAAATGAAAAGTGCTGAGTTTTAGGAGCTTGTCTTTCTCCCTTTTTAGAGAAAAATACTGTTAGGTTCCAATTGCTAAGGTAGGTCTATTTAGAGGAATGAAAACTAATTTTACATGGCAGCTTGGACTCATGATGCCAAGAAGAAAAGCCTGCATTTAATCTGCTGTATAGTGAATCATACTCGTTAGAGCTAGAGATTGCAAAAT